TATCAACTTTTGGGAAATAGGTTTGGCTTCAAACACACTTACTCTAGGGTAGGATTACTGCTTAAAGATGATAATATTATGGAATAATCCTTTTATAAGGGTTGATTTTTTTAAACATATACATATAGAGAGAGACATTTTTTAAAAATGTTAATAAGGCTGCAGATATAAACCTATACTTCAGCTACAGAAACTGATAGTTTAAGCTTTAAAGCTATAATTCCACATAATATTAAAATAGATTTATCCTGTGGTTTGAATCCTTTTTTAGTACACAAAACATTAATTTACATTTTTTCTTATCATTTAGAAGTAAAGAATGAAGCTAGATCAAGTTTTCCAAAATGTTCATTTCAGTTCAAGAATGCAACTACTAATGCACTCGTTGGTGCCAAGCCCACTGAAGGAATCCCGGAACCTGTTCCACTTGTTAATAACCGTAAAGGGAGCCTCTTTCTACCCAACAATCCCTCGCTGCTGCACCTTAACTTGTTGAGATCTGTTGAGCATGGAAAATCTACCTACTGTAGATTGCAAAGGACACTCAGTTTGCCTGTAAAATACTGCTATCACCCTCAAAATCCTGGGTTGAACCAAGATCTCCGTAGGTAGCCCCTTAGCTGGATGCATAAGGCAGTACAGATTGGTTTGTGCATGGTTTTACAGTTTGAGTGTTTTCAATGTGAAAATGACATTACTAATGCTCTGTTAAGTGCTTACAGATGTGGGTTTCGTGAGATGTGGTGATTAATAACTTAAACAAGATAGTTAGTAACTAATGGTTCTGGGTGGTTGATGTTTTATCTTTCTTATGTTTTATTTGCTTTGAAACACATTCTAGGCAATGAGTTTACTAGGTGTTCCATTTCATGTAGTATTTGGTAGCTGAAAGGTTGTTAGATAATCCAGCTCATTTTGGGGGTCCACAAAAGGGAAGCACCCATAAACTATATTGTTAGTAACCTTGCAGAGGCAATGAAAGAGACAGATGTATTTAAAAAAATAGTAACAAAATAATAAAAGAAATGTTATGAACTTGTCCAATGTTTCTGGAAGACATTTTCTTTATTTGGCTTAAAAACTAAATGAGGATAAAAGTCAAGTAATATGTTGTTACAGATGTTCGCCTCTGCATTAAGGCTGTTAAAATTACCAGCACATCTTAAATCAATTCATGGAACATTGTCTGGGGGTTATGTCATTGAAATAATGAATCCTTTTTACTCAAGAATAAGCAAACATGTTAAAACATCAGCGTAACTCCAAATTAAACTCCAGCATAAACCAGAGTATCTGAAGCCTCATTAGACTTGCCTGACATTTTTCTAGCTCTGAGTCTTCCTGAACTGTAAAACTGTTAGATTCTGTGCCTATTAGACAAGCAAGCACTGGGTTGTTACAACAGTACATTAAGTGTTATACTTAGGGATGTGCAAAAACAAGTTTTTGAATTTTATGAGAACTCAAAGGCTGGATTGAGTTCACATTCTATAAAATTCCATGTTGAATTCCTGAACTTGTCTGTACTTTCATGAAAGCTGGTAAAGAAGGTCTGCATAACATAGTATGACTGTATTGTAATACAACTCCCATAGCATTAAATGAATTGAAAATATTAAAAATAGGGGCATATTCTCATTAACGGAAGCAGTAGGTCAAATGTACAACATTAGTGTTCAGTTGTCGTATATCACAGCCAGTTACTCAAATACAGTTGTCTTTCATGAAAGTGAGTAAATTTAAGATTCCCTTTCATTTAAATTTTTAATCCTCTCATGCAGAAAAAGGAACCATGAAATGAAAATATTTTATAGCTTAACTACAAGTTTTGCGAGATCTACTTTCTTTAAATATACAGGAAATTAATAGAATATATTAAAGATAATAATTAAATATGGTTTATATCCTACTTATGACTAAGAACCCACCTGTGAGTTAGCATTATAACACTTTTGGGAACCAAGCCATAGGTAATGATCTCCATTACATACCATTTGTATATTTCAGCTTCAGACAATTCTCCCCTCTTCCCCCTCCTCCCCCCGCAATACCTACCCACACACATACACATTTAGGGAATAAAACTGCATTTCCAAACTGCAGATACACTATAAACTCTTTGCATACAAATTTCATTTAAAAACAAAATCCTGATTCATCCTGTGACATGTTTAAAATAGGTGATCTTTCATTGCCACAGTGAAAATAAATGGCTCCTTTGCTTGAGCAAGGCACGGCTTTAGTACAGAAATGAGGTGTCTCTGAGGGCTTTGCTAATAGGTATTAACTTATGAGCCATGTTACCCTAGAACATTGCAGGTAAACACAGACAGTAATACGGCATAAAGATGATGGGCACTTAATGAAGAAAAGAGCTTGTTTATTGTAACACTAAAAGACACTGTACGCTTTGTCAGGAAATCCAGCTGTGGAGACCATCATTCTGGAAAGTGGTACTAATAAGGCCTAGTTTCACAATTGGCCAGTATGATAGTAACGTCTGGTAAGATTGGAAAAAGCAAATGCTAGACCATGTAAGATGAAAGATCTTCATTGGACTTACCTTTTACATTTGAATCAGCAAGCATAACTCATTTTAACCAACTGAAGGGTTGGAAAAAAACTTTTTATAGCATTTTGCACTAATAGAAATATTTCTGTATATGATATCATTACAGCTGGTCTGTATCAAAATAAGACTTTACAAATGCTCCTACTGGGTACAGAGCTTCCTTATTACTAGTGAAAGAGGTACAAAAATGCATTCCACTTGTACTATGTTACTGAATTTCTTATAAACGTTTTCTAGCCCCGTGGGGGCAGATTAATTTAGATGAACTTTGAGCTTTTATTTACTGGCAAAGAAAAACATATCATTTGTAGGTGATTTCTGCAAGCAACATTGTGCATGGTTATTTCCTTTAATCTCTTAAGTGGTGTGTCCATATGATTTGGACTGACTATTTATATCCAATAAAGAACAAGAGAGTCCTGTGTATGCATTAAAAGCAAATTATTGCCTGTGTAGAATAGCTTGTGAATAACTGTTTTTGACAGACAAGTTTAAAACAAGATTACACCATTTTCCAGAGAATGACTTGCCAGAGATTGTTATGGAACGAATAAAGAACCACACTTTATTATAAGTAGAGCTGGGCAGATACCGCTAAAAAAATTTCGGAGAGTTTACAAACAGCCAAATATTGAAGTGATTAAGGTTTATTGAAACCAACTCTCCCAGAAAGTTTTGAGTATTCGTTGAGGAAATATTTATACTCTCAGCCAATCAAAGAACAGTAATGGCGCTATGTGATTTAGCTAACGAATCACAAGTAGGCAGCACAGCCAGAAATGTGCATGTCAAATATATAACAAATTTCACGATTATGCTATGGATTTCTAAAACAAAAAATGAAATAGTTAAATATTGAGGAAATTTCATATTCTTTATGGATGCTCTCTAAGCAGAAAAGAAGACTGCATTAGTCCAATAAATTATTTGTTGTAAGTTGATCATTGCTCAGTTCTAATTACATCTCCTTTTACATCACTGTTTTGAGGCTTTAAAAAAAAAATCCAGGATTTGTTAGGCAAAGCCAGGTCCTTTAAGAAGACAGCAATGTTGCCTTTCCAGTGTCCAGTTCTGTAATCTTGATGAAGGCAAAATGAAGTTCCATAACATACTCTGGAAAACAGACAGACATGACAAGCTAGAATGTGGACTGTAAGAAAATAGTATCAGAAGAGGATTGTAGCAGGAGGATATTGCTTAATTCATTCTCAGATAAATCTAGAGCAGGTGACATATGTCCAGGTCTGCTTTTTCTTCCTATATAGTTCATTGCAAATAGATTTTTTTTCCAGCTGATGCTTGTGCACTGCTAATGTGTATTAAGCTCCTTTAATGTAGCTGCTACTACTAATCTCTTTCTTTTTATCTTTAAGGTAACAGCTACGTAGGCCTCAGTTACATTGTCTTCTAGCGTGTTTTTCAATTAACTATAGGATGGAAATGAGACTATTTTTCATTCTTAATATTACAGCATTAATCTGAACTTGAGAAACCACCATTCACAGATGATTCCCTTTGATAGCAAACATAATACTTGTGTGCTAATTATCAAGTACAGTAGTTGTCCTTTAAACAGTAATGATGAAGGTTAATATTAAAACATAACTGATTAGAAAACTGTGCTTCTTTAAAGCAAATAGTATTATGTTATAGGTAATCCGGTGATGTACACTTTATAGTAATCTTAAGTTATTTTACATTTGGAAAATGATCTTTCATTTAAAATGAACTCTATCCTCATTAAAAGATCCTGTGCTGTAACACATCCTCTGTTATACAGGTACTATCCCCCACTTCCATTCAACCATACTCTGCTCATTCCTGTTATAACAGCTCCCCTTTGTGAGAAAGGTGGAGTGATGAGGTCTGAGTTGTGCTGGAGATCTGTGCACAATTGCAGGCAATGTTCACAATCCTGACTAACTGAAACATTAAACATCAAGGCATTGAATATTTTACCTCTCTTCATGAAGATTCTGTTGTCTGGCATGTGAGAAGCAAGAACCAATTTGTATCTGGTTCATTAGCAAAAGCAGGCTGGCAGCTATTATGTTGGTATTTCAAATAGCACTTTATCTTTCTGTGTATTTAGCAGAACACTAATTCTACTCTTCAGTAGCACAGATTAATTGAAAATAACTCAGAGAATAACATAAATGCTGTTCCCCGAACCAGTATGAAACCAATTTGAACTTCTGTGTTCAAACCCCTGGTTTTCTTCCCTTCTCCAGCTCCTCCTCCTCCAAACCAATCTCTTTGACTAACCCATTTGATTTTTTTTTTTTTTTTTTTACTGTTGGGCCTAAAAAGTTAGTAATGAAGTATCAGTGCGTGAATGGACATTGAGTGTGTGTTCTTTGCTATGTCATTTGTATTTCATATAGCGCTCAGAGTGGTCCTTAATCTCATGAGTTGCCTCTATTTCCAGTTGAAGATGAACATCCGTCGACACTGTCACCCAAAAAAAAGCAGCGAAATGGAGGCATGAGAAATTCACCCAACTCCTCGCCCAAACTGATGAGGTAAGACTGTAAGAAACTCATATCTTTATCTTCTTTCGTTCCTCTACACCTCCCCCTCCTCAAAAAAGGGGGAGGGGGGTTGAAGAAAAAGATTGTTAGATGGTTTCTGAAAGGCTGAAGTATTTATTCTGTCAGCTTGTCAGCAGTTAATGATAGAGCTGAAAAAAATTCTGTCATGAAAAACAGTTTGAAAAGCTGTTTGAAAAATACATAGGCTTTAAAGTCTTAGCTGTCACCCTGTCCTGTCCATGTGTAGTTCTTAAACAGCAGTGGCACTAATGATAGCACTAACCAATCAGAGGAACTCATGTGGTTAGTTTGCCTCAGGCAATTCTCTTTTTGTTGGAATCCCTCTGAGTACTGTTTTCTGTACTTAAGGCCATATGTGAGATGTATCATCACAATCAAAAATGAACCTGAATATTACCTTCCTTTTATCCTGTCGATTGAAATCAAATTTCTGTTAATTGATTTTGACTGATTAAAAAAAGTCTAATAATCTATGTACTTACCAAAGCAAAGTTCAAAACTAATGCAATTTTACTCAGGCTAAAAGCAATATCAATTATGAAATACAAGGATTTTTTTTAAGAATAGTACCTACTCTGAAAGTGGATGATAAAAATAGCTTCTGGTTGTTAATGAAATTTTCCCACTGTTGTTGGATATATAGTATTTTACAATAAGGAAACCCTTAGATATTTGAGTCATTTCTTTCCATAGGACAATTTCCCTTTAAGCAGAGGTTCTCTGTAATTGGAATTGCAATTGGGACATTGTACTACATGAAGCAATATAGCACTTTCATTCTACTTCTTTCTCTGCCTTACCCTTCTCCTGTTGTAGTCAGTGGGCGCAGGATCAGGCATGCTAAATGCAGTTGTATTACATCTGAGTTCTCTACAAGCAGCTTGTTCTATTCTGTTTTTGTGTATATATAATAAGAAAGGGGCCAGGCTGGAACTCCTGCTCATGTTTGGATCCAGATCTGAACATCACAGCTCAGACCCATCTCTCGTGTATGTGGCTGTATACATGTAGGGAGACAGGCATGCATGCATGCTTTTGTGTATATATGTAACATACATACATCACTTAGCACCTTTCTCTGCTTCCTGGCAGCAGCCATGTTCCTCTAACGGTTATGGATATAGCCAGATGATTTCCCCCTCTCTACTTCAATCAGTGCAGTGGGAATTTCCTTAGCCAATTCAATAAGCATCTTTTTCTGTTTATCGTTCCTGCAATCTAGGGCATATTCAAGGGCATAACTTCTTTAAGTCGTCTTCATTTGTGTTTAGACTGCAGGACCAAAAGTGAGATTGATTCACTGAAGAAAATGCACCCAGCTGTGTCTTTTTTTTCCCCCCATTGACCATCTATTTCTGTTAAATGTATCGTTAAAAGTTCTCTGCCTTCCTGGTAGCTCAGCCTTGCCTGTGTGACACTGATTTACATGCTTGTTTACAGTTTCTGAGGAAGAATAAAATGAGCATACTGCCAAGCTTCTCATTTTTATGACGCCAGTTGTCATGCTAGCATCATTTTCAATTTACTCACCTTTGGGTAATCTTCTTATCAGGCACTAATAGTTTTATCTGTTTAAAGTTTGAAAAATGTGGGAGCTTCCCCCTTCAACCCCTAAATTTGGGGAATAAAACATTTTTTTTAAAAAAAAAGAGAGCTGAAACATTTGTAGCTGAGTGCACTGTCCCTGTTTGCTATGTAAAGTATGCCTCATTTCTTTGATCTTGAGTAATAATAATTCTGGGGAGCTATACTGTTTTCATATGCTTCAAAGCTGTGTCAAAGTTTTGCTGCTTAAGGGTACTTCTTTATTCTACTGGCTCTTGGGTACTGAGATGACAGGTCCTCTGTACTAGGTGGAGGCTTTTTCAAGTCATAGCCTTCAGCAAAACATCAAATTACCAAATACAGGGTAACATACTTCTACACAAATGCCTTTCCTGTAGATATATTATACCATATATATTAAATACTTTAGTGTTACACGGTGCATTTTATGTGCAATAGAAAGTGATGGTTTGAGGTAGCCTTAGGGGTACTTTTTTTCCACAAGCAGAAAAAGCTAGTGTATACCGTATCAAGTATGGTTTTTACAGGACTTTCTGCCCGAAGGCCTTTGTAAATAAGTAATGATCAACAGATTGGCTGTGGGTTTTTGAAAAGCATGCCTGTGTCAGTTTGCATGATGGGGGGAAATTTTCAAAGTGGAGCCTGCTTTCATTGCCTGCCGAAGAGGGACTCAGGGAGAGTAGTCATCCCAAGCTCGAGCTGTCTGCTCAGTAGCACATCAGAATTGCTAAACGTGGGTCGAGCAATGAGTGGAGAACTTACCAAGCCTCTGAATCCAGACTTTGTTTTCTTTCTCCTCTGTCTTGCTGCTGAATTTACTTACCCACCCTATGCCCCCACCCTCACCCCTTTCCCATACCCCATATCCTCTCTGCCTTATATGTCAGGAACATAGTGGCAGACTGAATTGTAGCTCAGAGCTCTTAAACCCGAGCAAATGGAATAAATATCTATTTTCCGTGCAAGCTGTGCAGTGGTCAGATCCTCCTCTATGCACAGCAAGTTAGGCTCCATTGCCTATTTTTTTACTACTTTAGTGACTGAAATTGAAATTTCTTGACCACCCCCCACAGAAGCCCTTGGTTAATATCAGTTAGAAGTATACAGTGTTTCCTCCTAGGTAAAAGCACTCAGATGTCCAAAGCTGATACTTTTAAAATATTTTTCTCCTACGTTTGAATGAAAAGTACTGTGACAGGGCAGATAGGACCCACACTAGGAAAAAGGGGGTTGAAGAGAGCCTGTGGGCCCCTGCCTGGCTAACCCTGCAGCCAGTGTCACACATGGAGAAGTGAGTTAAAGGGAGGAGACCCAGCCCAGGACTGACCAGGAGGGAGAGCAGAGTTGTGCTACTTCCTCAGTGAGGGAAGCCTGGTTCCAGCCAAGAGCTTAAGATGGCTTGCTACCTAGATGAGCCATTTTGTGAATAGGACAAGTAGGCCCAGGAAGATGGACAAGAAGGGACTAGCCACATGTAGACAACCCTGGAGCAGAAGAGCATGCTCCGACCGCTGAATCCCCAGCCAACCCAGATTTTTAATTCTCTCTTTCCTTTTGGTTTTGGACCCTTAACACCCTGGACAGTGTAGGACTCCAGTGTACCTTGACCAGACTGTGGCTGTGGTCCTATGAGTGGTTACATCCAACTGTCAGGGACCCACAGCAGGAAAGTCATGTCCTTAAGTCCACAAGCGGGAGGGTGGAGGCACTTAGATCACCCAGTTACATTGCATAAGCCAGGTCTTTTTCAGTTAACAGACTAGACCGTAAGATTCAGTCCTGCTGTACTGGGGATGAATGGTTGGAAGGAGTGAGCATATGGAGTGGGAAGAGCATGCACAAAATTCCATCAGAGAATTTAATCATAGCTCTATAGAGTCACTTCCTGCTCAGCCTTACAGGTAACATAGAATTCTACAGCAATACTGCATTTCTACTGTACAGAGGGCAAACCAGTGGAAGCTCATGCAAGGAAGAGGTCACTGTGCTTCCCTGTGTGCCGTGGGCAAAACACCCATGACAACTCTTTCCACTGGAACGCAAAGGATAAGAAGGGATGTGTTGTGAGCATGGCCAGCAGGTGCATGAGCAGAGAGCTTTGGACAGGTCAACTAATTCTTAATTTGAAGTGAACCTAAGCTCAAATATTTTTGAGATTCACCCAGCACTATACAAATCCATATTACCTAATATGATGCAGAACACAAAGACTCTAAAACTCTATTTTTACAATGCAAGAGGCAAATTAAATTACTAGCTGAAGTAAATAGTTGTAAAATTTGCAAATGGCCTGTAGACGCTAGAAATGATTTATATACCGAGATTTACATACCGAGATTCAAGAAACTGAATATTAGGCCAGTATTATGCTAGTGCACATCCAGTGAAAGTCAGTGGAGTCACACTGATATAAAACTGGAGGTATGTGGTGGTGAATCAGGGACAGAATAGCTGTATTATAACACTGGGCATATACACTAGGTAAACATTTAGAGAATACAATGAAAAATACATATTGAGCCAGATTCTAAGCTGCTGTAAATTGGCATAGCCCTCTTGATCTCAGTGGAGCTACACCAGTTTAAAACAAAACAAAAACACCACAAGAACAAACTCTAAAAGGGAAGAGAGCAGGCTTCTTATAGAGACTTACCTTAGACATGGTAAAACCTCCTGTGAGGCTGCCTCACAAAATGAAAAGGAAGAATGAGGGGGAGGAAAAGGAAAGGAAGGAAACAATACATAGCAGAATAACAGTCACATAAGGCATATCAGGTTTTCCTTTTCATGAGACATTTGCAGAAAGGAAATGTGGAAACATTTGGTTCCCCCAGATCATTAAGAGACATAAATTCACTTGCTCATCATCTCAGGGTCTCTTTTTTTTGTTGCATGTCACTGATGAATGACATGTTAAATGTGACTAACCCAGTGTATGTGGTAGCCAAGCTGGTCGAAAAGTAGCCCCCCTGGATTCAAGGGTGATCAGTAAACATTTTGAAAAGTCCTGGACCCAAACCAACAAGCCACTTAAACTGTTGACAGGGTCCAAGTCCTCACTTAATGATTTGGTAACTGCTGCTGCATGAGTGGAATGCACTGAGTAGCAAAAAATGTCAACCCAGCTGAGTCAAGCTATTAATGTAAGAACAAATGGCATGTGACAGGGCCCAAGGGGCCTGAAAAGCAAACAAATAGTTTGTCCCTGTCCACTCTGAACTGACATAGGCCTCTAGACAAGTAGCATACTCAGCAAAGGGTCATTATCCTTAATGTCCCTGATCACATAAGAATCAGAGGCAATAGGAAGCTGAGTTTTCAGTTGGTTGCCAAGGAGAATTTCATAAGCCTTGAGGATTTTTCTTGATCCAAAATCCAGAAAAATACCCAGCCAAACAGCAAAC